TATATACCACAGCTCATCATATCCAAATTAATTTTTATTTGTATATTTGTTACACATGCATTTTATTATTTATCACCTGTTAGTGATAAAACTTTCCTGAGTTGTTGTGCCCACAGTTTCAGAACAATTTTAAAATATCAGCTGGGTCAGTTGTTTCTATAAATGTGTCTGCAACCGAAAAGGCGGTTTTTTTGTACATGAAAGTGCATGAAACTTCCAAAAAGCAGTTTTATTTCAATGATTTTGCAACGGTTCACCTAGTAAGTTATTCAGGCCATTAATTTATGATAAATGGCGTATGAAAAGGAAAGTTATCAGCAACTATTGTCATTAGCAGGGCAAATAATCACGGTAAAACGTTACGACCGACAATCATAATGGCGCTCATGTATTATTTATAATGTCAGCATTAATCAGACAAGGTCAAAAGAATACAATTTAACCACCGAACTATTGTCCTGTCACTACGTATACATTTTCTAACAAAATTATACAATTTTTTATTACAAAACTGGATTATGTGTCAATAAAACAACTCGGAAAATAGGCCTAAAACTCGCACCAATTTGACCAAAATGTAAACCATGAAGCTTTCGTAACAGTTCCGCTACTCCGTAGCAGATGGCGTTAGTAGTAGCTAAATTTCAGGAGTTAATTTTCACGCTCGCCACGTATCAGGGGCGCGTACGTAGACGTTTTAATAAAACTTTGTTTCGTTTTTGTTTTCGAGGGTGGCGCTTGTCTGGCGTCGGGTTTTACCGCTGTTTTTAATTTAAACACATAATTATGGGCATTTGCGGGACGCGGACAATTGTTTGTGGAATAATTTTTCATGGAGTTTGTTTACTTTCATGCCGGTTAATACATCTAATGATTTGAATTAAATTAAATGTCATCAAATCTTTTTGTTCATATTGCAAGTAGCAAATTTAATTTTACTTCTTAGTACAGATTTTACTGCTTGGCAGAGTAATGTATCTAGAGTCGTCTTAAATGTATATAAGGCAATTTTACAGTTTCAGTGTGCCCTCTATCTTTATGAAACAACCACATACTTACCCGGTCCTTGCCTTACTTCTGGCGAAGAAAGGCTTATTAAAATTCAGCGTTGTCAAAACCTGCCGAATGCTCCCCCAGCAATTAAAACAATCCCGGGCAAATACAAAGGCAAATTATCAAGCTCATGGTGCTTTCATTAATATTTTCCATTATCCAATCGACAAAGCACTTGAAGGCAGGTACTACACGCAAATCAGAATAGGTCCTTTACATTATGTATACGGTGAAATGAATTTTTAAAGTGAGGTGCACTCGCCTTCATATGGAAATATCATCTTAGTGTAATTTATTAGGAAGATTGTTGGCATAAATGGTTGGCGTTTTGACTAGCTTTCCAATGAGTTATCGCAAGCTTTGTTAACAAGAAGTTGCGTGTGTATATGTTGATTTTAAGTTGTTTCGGTTAGTTAAAATCGATAAAACACTTTATTACTTACATTGTTTTTTTTCTACAAAAAAAAAACAACCGTCTGTTGCTATCTATCACTGCTGCTGTCATTTAATAGTAGGTTATATAGTTATCGCTTAGGTATTTATGACGTAGAATAAGTTTCAGCGAAAAACCAATAATAAATAAATAATAATAACGCACATACTCAACATAGCCTACTACTACTAGGGAAATCCTGTGTCGCGGGTGCCATGGACACACACATAGACAACCACAAATGACACCCAAACTCACGAGAGAAGTAAATGTAGGTCATACAAACATTTCTCCCGGCCCGGGAATCGAACCTGGGCCCTCTGCGTGGCAGTCCGGCCGGCAGTATGGTAACCGTTCGGCCACGGAGGCAGTAAACTAGCATCATCGGTTGTTTCACCCCGTATATCAGTATTGGTACGCGGGGTTGGAATCATATCTCGTACATTACAATCGTTATCAAGTGCGTTCGTCGGCTTCACGAATACCTACATTCCATTTCCTGCGTCACGCACACACTTGCGTGACGTGTGTGTCACGGCCACACGGACGACACGGTCACGTTACACAGTCACGCGTCTGTGTGCGTGCTGGAAAATCAGTTTTTGCGTGTGTGTTTGTTCCCTTCTTCTTCTTTCTTATGACCGTGTCCTACTCTCGTCCAGTGTGGGTTATATGGATGGATTGTCTCTTGTTTAGATGTCTATTATTGTTCGCTTAGTAGTGTTTTGTAAATGTATCTGTGCAGTTACAGTTTTTTTTCTATCGATATAGTTGTTTGATACCGGTTTTTTACTACTTTTGGTTTGTTTTTCGTTTTGCAAATGGAAGGTTTAGTCTTTTGTAACTTTAATACGGCTGTTATTACGTTTACTGAAAATGACTCAACACGTATCCTCTAGAGCCTGAAAAATCATAAGAATATATTGAATGGTCTTTAATGCTTTTATTACCTACTACTAATATAGGTATATACTACACCTTCAAGTATGTTACACGTGTGAAATTGTATTTTCTGTTATAATTTCTAATGAAAGCATAATTTCTAACGGCGTGGGCGAACTTTTAGCTAATTGGAATTCATTATTCCAATAAAACAAACATAAAAAATTAACGAGTTGTAAATATTAATTCAAGTGCCATTTGCATTCGTTAAAACATAAAAATTCTGATACAGTTTTCAAGAGTTTCGTTTCTTATAAGAATACACTGCGAGTCAAATAAAAGTGGCCACAATATAAAATATATATCGACAGAGTGTTAAACAAAACGAACATTATGTACATTTAGAAATTGACTTCCGAGAATCGTGAAGAAGACATAAAACGTCATAAAAGGAAGTAGAAAGCTGACACTGATGGCGAAGCAAAAACTGGATAACTTTGACTATAGCTTATCTTTCAATGACCAATCATATAGAATAACCTCGGTGCACAGACTGGGTCGTACTAAGTGTAGTCTAGAAGTGGGGGGTGGCAGCGAGGGGCGCGGGGCGGTAGGCGGGCCCGCGCATGCGCGCCGTTGCCAAGACGACGGCACGTAACCGCGGCGCTGTGTGCGTGCCGAGTATAAGCTGTTCGATGTCGCACGAGCCATCGTGTTGCAGACGAAGCTCAAAACACTAAATTCGAATTAAACCAGTTTGAATTCAAATTGTAGTACAAACGTTATCTGCAATTAATTTTGATAACACTTAAGCGCTGCAGACGCGCGACACAAAAATTAACTAATAACTTGTAGTCAACTGTCCATGAATCCTGAAATTGCCTCATGCAAAAACGGCATTTTCGTACTGCTTGCACTAAAGGGTAAGATTATTCATAATAAGTATTATCGTATTCATCGCACTATACCTGCTTCCTTGGTGACATTTCTTAATCCTCATATATTTTAAAAATGACTAACGCTCTTAATATATTGTAATTTGTTTGTCACGGTACTGCAGTAACACGAAATACTTAAATCATAACAAAACATATCCGCCGTGACGTAACCTCCGTCTGCATCGAACGAGCAATACCATCCACACTCCTGTGTACCGCATTCCACGCACACAAGTGCACCGCACTAGTATACACGCGATGTCACGTCGCACGCACACGCGCGCGCCCATCCTTTACGCCCATACTTGTGTACCACTATACTTGCCTCGTATATAGGCGTACCTTACACTGGCCCGAAGTGTACTCGAATTCCTGCGAGACCTGAAAAGGAGTTTTACAAGGGCGTCTTTTCTTTTGAACGCAAACCTTTGCCTGTAAAAGGCTTTTAACCGTTATAAAAAGAATGTATTGATACGAGTTAGTGGTCCCTTTGTAGTTTGCATCTCGTGGGGTTTACGGCGTACAGTAAACGTAAAGTTGTATAAAAAATCATATTCCGCACTTCGAGGGGTTTAAAGGAGTGTTAAGGACACGTAAAGTGTTAAGATTTGACTGAGAAATGAACTTCTCGAGCTGGTGGGAAAGTTAATAGCGGCGCTCAAAAGATGTTTTTGTTGGCAACTTTTACGACGGATTCAGAAGTTTATTGCGATTTTTGCTTAGCTCTACATTATGCTCTTCCGAAGAAAGTCATTGTCGCAGATAAGTACGACCCTTTGCTCTTATACTTCTATCTTAGGGACCAGATATTGCACATTTGCATTTTCGAAACGATTGAAGTGTGTTTTGTTACCCGTGGCGTGGCGTTGTAAATAACAATGTTTTGCGATCAAATTCGAGACAAGTTAATAACAAGCCTATGCACAAAACATCGTTGTTTATAGCGGCTGGCCGTTATCACAAGTTAAATGTGAACACCGTCGTTGCGCAGTCGATGCGTCTGTGCCCGGTCTGCACCTGGGCAGAAATTGATATTTCAGAGCTGAGATTTTTAAAAAAATCGATGCATTCGCCGAATAAGAGGCATTGCGAAGGTCACGGCCCCATCGATCCGGCGTAGAAAGTGAGACCGGCTGCCACTACTAACACCGTCCCGGCGGCTATGCAGCCTGAATTAATCGCGCATATATTTGAATACATTTGAACAGGAGCGCCCGAACCGACGCGGTGTCGTCGCCCCCTTAAGTTTTACCGATTTTGTTGCTCGCTGCTTGTATCTGACTTCGAGAGCTCCGTGCTCCGTGCGGAGTGGAGATGTGACGTCATTACGTCACCGCGCAGGTGCAGCTGTGCTTTCGGACGCTGAAGACGACGCCAATGGCAAGTTCGATAGTGCCGCTAGGATTACTTACTGACAATAATTGATCACAGGTAAAAAAAAATATCATTAACCATTGTAGTAAAGTTGGTTCAAATACTTTTCTATTCTATTTGTCGTTGTCACACAACGAATGTATTGTCTATACCTAATTATGTACTTTTTTACAACATTTAATTTCTTTAAATAGGTCCATTACGATTTAAACAAAAAGCCTTTGTAGAAGGCTTCTTGTCCGTGTATGGGTGTAGAGTCTTTTTTTAAAAAACAACAACAATTTATAGTCTACATAATAATATATTTATAAAATTTTTCGGCAGTTGACATTGGCAGCCTTTTCAGGTTTCTGAAACAAAAGGAAAGAAAATTAATTTGATATTAATTTATTTACAGAATTGATTCGTCCTTTCTGACTCTACCCTACAAATTGAAGTTGTGGAATCAAACTTCTTTGTAGTGAATTTGTTCTAGACGCGAAATACGATTCCACTTCAAAATGAACCTAAATAACAGCAATCTCTCTTGCCCCAGAGTCGGTTGCGTAGAATGTGTAAATAGCAGGCAAGTTTCAGAGTGCCAATGGCGATTAATATGCCGCGACTGTCGCGCGTTTGTCGTGTGGCATCGTCCGCAGATGTCCTAAGCGTTATGGCTTGTACACTGTGCGGGAATTGGGATCTAATGACGGTGTAATATAGTTGATTGGAATTATAATTTTATTATACCTGGCGGCGAAAAGACTGATAAGTAGCACAGATGTCTGTATGGTCTTCGTTTGAAGGTTTGCAGAACAAGAAATGAACAAGTGCGACTGATGAGTCTCATCACCTTGAAAATGAACAAATGTGAACTTTATCGACGAAGACATAAGAAAAGCTATTGTCATGAGGTATTGATTTTAGTGGCCAAATTTAGTGATTAAAATTTCGAACAGCCCGGAGCAATGTGAGACATAACCAATAATAGCTGTTTGTATTCATCGTATGAACCGTGTGCGGACAGTGGTACGGGTGCCGGTGCGGGCGAGGGCGGTCATTTCCGCAGCCTACTTTCGTGCAGTCATCGATGTTATCTGCCAATATTGCCTTTTTGGCCGCTGCCGTTATACACACCGCTGTGCACTGTCCGTTACTTGGATTGAACTCTGCATTTGACGCTTCATCAATGAGATGCACGATCTTCCTGTCTTAGGCTTTATACGTTTTTGTACAGTATGATTACCTCGGTACGGTAATAGCCGTCGATTGTCTTTTTCTTTACAGATGAGATACCTTCAGTAGGTGTTTAGTACAATACCATCTCATTTTCTTAAACTACAGATTATATTGTATTTGTTGGCCAAATAGTTCATAAGTTATTTGTTCATGGAAACACAAGTTGTACACAGTATCAGGATCAATTAATTTCAATGTGCCCGGCCAAATATAAACACGTTGTGAAGGTATATCTATTAACATGTTCAAAAATCAAGTGCAACCTCTTTCTTTAACATGTTTTACCGACTTCAAAAAGGAGCAGGTTCTCAATTCGTCCTGTATTTTTTATAAATATCACACAGACGCGTACACATGTATCTAACAAGTCAGTCAATAATTTAAACGCAGTAATATTAATTTCACTGCAAAATGTCAATGTTGATGTCAAAATAATCATTATGGAGAAATATTTAAAAAAAAAGTGATGAAATGAAATATTTGATAACGTGAGTTGTTGCACAAGAGAAAAAGTAGAGAATATACACAAATGTCAATGATTTTAAGTCAATAAGTTAGCGATTTGACATTTAAAAGGTAGTGCTCATTGAATAAATTATAATAATTCTTTAATTTATTATTTCTCATTCTTCCCAGAAATTCTAACTCCTTCAAATGTGTTTAAAACGTCGTCACCTTAGATAAGAAAGATAACATACAAAACATGACATCGGCGAGGAAGTTGCGTGCAAATACGCAATAATATATTGTGAGATGTATGACCACGGAAACTCGCGTGTGATAACCACTGTGCTAAAGGCGGAAACTGGTATTTGCATTGTCCTATCTAACAGTTGTTTGTGCAAATTCCTTTTTAATCCATCGCGATGTGGTCACTGCAGGTTTTTAAGAGCCAAGTGCCAAAACTAACTCTGCGCTCTTCACCTAGGAGCCCTGAACGTTGCATTGTTCTTATCGTAGAGGTATGCAGTGGCCACGGAACGCCATCTTACTCTATGCTGATAAAACTTTCGAGCCTTACATACATCAATTACGCCTTTCATACAACTTCTTATTTATTATTGTCACTTCGGATCCCAGCCTTTTTGGAGACGTCACTGATCTAGTCAATGTAAGTCGTTCAGAGACGTTCCCTTAAAACTCTTCCATCCACATTTCAATTACCAATCACTCTCAACAATTCTCTGTTCTAGTCACCACGTCCTCCTCTTTCAAATCACATCTTTTACGTATTATTGTATTCTACACTCTATCACTCAACTTTATTCCACAAATTTTCCTCAAAGATCTCATCTCTACTGCATTAATTCTACTTTCATGCTTCTTCTGCCATACCCAACTTTTACTACCAAACGTCAGTATAGGAACCAGCAAAGCATTGTGTAAGGATATCTGTCCGAATTGTGAAGCTTTTTAATGATAATAATAATAATGTGTCGCCTCCAGAACAAATACAGAAAGCGCTGCTCTGTGATGCGACAAGTATCGTTCTCTTGTTTTTGAACTTGAGTCCCTAACACCGGCCGAACCTACTTCTCTAAAAAAATCAAAATGTATCTAGGTCATGGCGAGAATCTAAAATATATGCCCAAAATAATAATAGTAATAGAAGGCAGTCATACTAATTTATTTGGTCTCTAATAAGGGGATTCCGTGTACTAGGGAATAAAATCCGGGAATTGAACCCAGTACCTCCTGATTAAGTGCCTGTAGTGTTAGTAGTGGGTCCCCGAAGTAGTCAACGCTTCAAAAAGTGCGATTTAATACTGTAGCGATTTGTTTCCTTTTTACATACTAAAAGCACCGAAATAGAAGCCAAATGCGTGACAAAATATTACTAAAGCCTTGTAAGGAGTGCCCACTATCTCGCTTGCGAATCCCTTAACACTTTCAAACGGCCAAAGCTGCCCCTCCGTCCAACTATCCCGCGGTAATGCAATGCTGAACACGCGCTGAGCACTTCCAGGAATGAGGTCGTCATGTGGGGATTCGATATTGCCACGGGCACCGACTCATGTGGGTCACGTTGCCATCACGCATTGGGTCAACATTACGGTATTGACATTGTCGTTATAAGGAATTTATAAATAATTAACGGTCATTGAATTGTTCTTAAATAACTTGTAACTTAAAATAATAACGTCTTTTCGAAAATTTAGTAATGCAAGGACACAAAGTTAAAAAAAATCAGTTTAATGTTAAGGTTTTAACTCAAAACAGTTAGGACAGAAGACATTGAACGTGGGTCAAGCTAACTGAAGGGTGCAGCTGAACTTTTGCAACAGAAGATGCGCTGTAATGTGTTAACGTGATAGAAATAAAAATATTATTTGATTTTTTTAATTCCGGACTTAATCATGTATAAAACATATTTTAATAACCTCGACGTTTCGGGCACATTGCAACGTTGAAATAAAAAATAAATAAAAAAAGAACGGTGTAATATACGTTCAAAAGTTGTCAAACAATGTCAATGAGCAAAATGCATGGAGCAGAATATTGTGAATTATAAAAAAGAAATTAAAATAAAAAAAGATGTCGACAACGAAGTTATAGAGAGTAATTTATGCGGAGGATGTTTTAATCATTGTTTTTTTAGTACTACAAACAAAGTTTTAAAGAACCGACATTGTTTACTAACAAAATTGGACTGTTTGTTGTCTGAAAATAAAATTAATATTATTATTTATTTTACAATCTCGCATCTCCCATGGCCTAAAAGATAAATTTCAAATCATTATTATTGTTATTAGATACACTTCGCAGTGTAGGTATTCCTCTTTCTAATAATATAAGAAAAACTGAAATAATTTTAATAGACCGCAAAACAAATTATACCCTTCCATTACAATTGACATACCGTAATATTGTACCCAGTGTTCCACATTAAAAAATTCTAGAACGCGGAAAAATTACGACTTTTCCCACTATCCCATAAAATTAGGGTAGCAGCTCCAGAAGCCGTCATGTCGCAACCGCAAATAACGCGTCATCTCGGAAATTTCAGCGCTCACGTTTTCACGGCCACGCAAAAAATCGCTTTCGCCGAACATCTGTGCGTACCGAGACAAACGAGAGACGCGACGGAGTTCAGTATGAAAGCGTATCTTATGCATTTTACATGAGCCAGGCACAAGGCCCCTTACCTTCGCCTTCACACACGCGCGCTTTCGCACACCACCGACACTATTGTCGGAAACAAAACACGCGCAGGACCTAATTAGGGCTAACTAATTGTTGTCATTGCAATCACTTTCCGATAGAAGAACACAATTTCACATACGATTTGCATTAAGAAAATGGCAATTTTTATAGTTGCTTTTAGATTTGTTAAAATTTTCGAGCGCTGATCAGCATTTATGACGTAATTAATCTTTTTTGTAACTTAAATGAATAAAAACTTTGCCGTGAAAAAATGGGAATGAAGCCGGTATTTACCGTAAACTACAATTTAAAAGTGTTCGACGCTAATAGGAAATAATTTAGAGGCATTGTCGACAAACGCATTCCATTCTCGGTTACTTAGCATCGGACGAGATCGTGGCCGATTGGCCTGTATCCATTTTACATAAAAAATCTCGAAAATATGCAATAATCATCAGTTTATTTGTTTAGATTACAATATTATGAGGACAGAATTAAATAAATCGACTTCGTTCATTAGCAGGATAAGGGAATGGAACAGTGGCATACCGTAACTGCAGTATTATTTATTTATCATGGCGCAAACATTCACCGAAAATTCCCAAACCCGGGTGGTCCACCCCACATGTTTACAAACAGGCTCGCTGGTGTGCGTGGATGTGTGGCGCTAACTTTTAATGGTCTCGTAATGAAGTCTTGAGCGGTGTCAAGGACTTTAACACTCGGTCTGCAGCCTTTGTTTGGGTGCTCGTGTCCTCATTATTTGCCACCGTATACCTCTAACGACCTCAGGATCAAAGGGTGACCATCTGAGGCTCTACGTAATAGATTCCGGCTTTGGTTTTTGGTAGAATCTATTTAGGAGACAAAAGTTTCTGAATAAAATTAAGTCTAGTATCACGACTTTTGGTTACAGGTTTGTGCTGACGTACACATTTTTAAGCAGTTAGTGATTCCCACTGTAATGTTTTTTTGAGTTTATGCTAAA